ATTCCGAATAAAAAATTTTTTTTGAAATCATTATTTCAGGGTCAAATATGCTACCTAAAATTGTTACACTACATTTTGTATATTCAAAACATAATACTATACCCAAAATCACTCAAAAATATTGATACTTGATTGATCGAAATATCAGCCAGTTTCGTTTTTAAAAGATTAAAATTGCTGTTGTGATTGGTATGGAGCAGATCACTAAACGAAAACCTTTTTTCCCATTTAAACTACATAGCGAGGGTTTATTTTCGTTAAATGTAAAGCTTTAGTTTTTCAAATTGTCATAAGCGAAAATGTTGAATATATTGCAATGTAAAAATATAGAATTAAAAATTAATTCTATGTTATTTGTCGAATGCTTAAAAAAAATTTTAGAAGGAATATTTTGTCAGTGTTTATTTCGTACTTATGCTGATTCTCTGTGATTTGATTTAATTATATTTCTTTAAGTTTTTTATTTAATACAATTACACAGGTCAACATGACTTTTATCGCACGAACATGAGCAACATATTCCGAAGGTTTTTGATGCGCTGAATACTAATCTGGCATCAGAAATGCTCTATCACGTCACATTTTCGAGATATTCTAACCTAAAAGTGCGAAAAACGCTTATTTTCGCTGTTTTAGAGGCTATGTTACACCGCAAGAAAATCTTTTTTGTTGAAAACGAATCTGACCATCTCAAAGTATCGCTTCTACCCTTTGCAACGCATTTTTCAAATTTGGTAAATATTTTTTTTTCGCGGAGATATCATCGAAGAAGTTCACCACTTTAGCGATTTCATAACAACAGTACCAACAATACAAATATCACAGCCCCACGAAAAAAGTCATATGTGCAAATGGTAATACCATGACATTTATGTTTTTGGGGTCGCTGAATTCGAATCCACAATTCATTTGACCTAATTAGCTCAGGGGTCAAAGTCAGATCAAGATTATCCCATTAATCTTGGTCCATGTACTGTTTCTATAGGGGTTTTGAATCTGGGGTTCGTTTGACCTGGTCGACTCAGAGTCAAGGTTAGGTCAAGGTAAAATACAAAAAATGCATTAATGAATCCGAATTGAAGGTTTATCTGACCCCCCTTAATATTTCTATGTTAGCAACCCCCTAATAACTCCCTAACAACCCCCTAATAAACCCCCTAATATAAACTATGCTATAAACCCTCTAATAACACAATGACGATGCTATAAACCCCCCAATAACGTAATGACAGTGTTATCAACTCCCTAATAAACCCCAATAACCCCCTAATATAAACTATGCTAATAACCCCCTGATGACGCAATGGCAGTGCTATCACACCCCTAGTAACCTCCTAATAACCTCCTAATAACCTCCTAATAACCCCTATAATATAAACCGTTCTATGAACCCCTTAATAGCGCAATGGCAATGCTAAAACGCCTCTAATGACTCAAGTAATCCTATCAACCCCCTAATATCCCCCCCTCTATAAACTTCCTCCCTAATAACCCTCTAATGTGAACTAAGCTAATAAACCCCTAATAACGCAATGACAATGCTAGCAACCCTCTAATTACCCAATAGCAATGTTATCAACCACATTATGTCAGATGCTTCAATGTTATCAATTTTCTGATTTGTGGAATCGCTTCCTTTTTTCGTCTAGGCTTCTGGTTCCTGACTTTCTCTTATGCTGTAGTAAGCTAACATATTAACATTTCATCTACCTTAATACCTTCTTTCCATCTTTTGGATGTCTTGGTGGAATCTTTCTCCTTGCTCCTCACTTAGATCTCCAAGATTCTCAGGAAAAGAATCTAAATGAGAATTCAGGAAATGTACTTGTAAACTCATGTTACAACCCAACTCTTTGAAACTGGTAAGCATATTTTGAAAGACTACGTGATAATTTTCTACTTTTCTGTTTCCCAAAAATCCTTCTACAACCGCTGTAAAATTCACCCATGCAGCCTTCTCTTTTCTTGTCATCGTTTGTTGAAAATCAGCCGATTTCATCATCTTTCTTATATCTGGACCTGTGAAAATACCTTCCTTTATTTTTGCATCAGATAATCCTGGGAATTTATCCAATAAGTAGAGGAAGCATTTTCCATTGTGATCAAGGGCTTTGATGAATTGCTTAATCAATCCTAATTTTATGTGGAGGGGAGGTAAAAGTATTTTTTTTGGATCACACAAGGGTTTTTTGAGAACATTGTGTGATCCTAGCTTCAGAAACGTGCGAAGTGGCCACTTAGATTCTTCCCAATGACGTGCAGTAACTCTACTATCCCACAAACAAATGTAACATGGGTATTTGGTATACCCCAAGTGCTGTCCAAGAAGTATAGTTATTACTTTCAAATCACCACATATGAGCCATCTATGTTCTTCATATTTAATTTTCTCAACTATCTGCATGTTCTCGTAAGATTCTTTTAGGTACACTGAATGGGCGAGTGGAATCGAAGCATATTTATTTCCATTGTGAAGGTGGACAACCTTCAAACTTCTTTTAGAAGAATCGATTACGAGACGCCATTCAGTAGCGACATATATCAAGTCTCTTTTTGTCATTAAGCCAGTCCCGTCATGACAGTAAGTCAATCCATCTTTCTCTGCGAAATATCTGATATATTCTTGCTCTTTGTTTCTGTACCAAGAAACAGTTGTTTTTGGAGCCAACAGATTCATTTCCTTCAACATAGAACCTAACAATTCTAATTTATTTTTTAACAGGTCCAAATCTTTAACTAAATTATTTAGAAGAGTTTGTGTCCTCAACACTTGAGGACTTTCGGTTGTATCGAAATATGCACTATCATCTGACTGCGGATCTTTGTCGTCCACCTCCATATCATTGATTTCGTCTGGGCTCCTGAAAGTACTAGGTAAACATTCTGCTTTCTTTAGGGGTGATGATTTCTCACAGACAAGAGTCCCCCGTTAAACTGGTTTAGTAACAGATGAGACATTAGGATACAAAATTGCAGATTTATTCTTACTGTTGAAACCTTTCAGGTCAATAGAACAAAAGTAACAGTCATTATGATCACGTAGCTCACGCCAGATCATCGGAGAACTGAAAGGCAATTTTTGCGAAGAGTAGTCTTTATTCCAACCACTTAATATTGCATAGCAACTTACACAAATTGTGTTTGGCACTCAAGATTTGTCTACATTCACGATAGAATAGCCGAAATAGTTTTTGTAAGCAGTTTCGATTGAAGGCGTAATGTTTCTCTTTTGATTTTTTGTAGCATAAAGTCCGCATACGTTGCAGAACTTGTTAGGATCGTTCACGCAACTCCGGAGAGACATTATAAAAGAGATCTCAGGAACACGAGGACGATGAAGATACTAGAAACTTCAACTAGGATTCTCAACTATCCTGAAAAGGAATGTTGAGAAAATGCCGCTCGATCGCAAAAAGTACGCCGAACCTTTCAACTATCCTGAAAAGGACTGTTAAAAAGAAGTGCGTATGGTTAACGGAAACCGGACTCTTAGCTATCCTGTTATCGAAAGGAGTAACGCTTGCCTCTGCACTATTAACGGGTTGATGGGATTGCCATCGCGCTATTAGGGGGTTCATAGCATAGTTCTTATTAATGCGGTTATTAGGGGATTATCAGGGGTTGATGGCACTATCATTGCGTTATTGGAGGTTGATAGGATTGTCATTGAGTTATTAGGATGTTCATAGCATAGTTCATATTAGGAAGGTTATTAGGGGGTTAATAGAGGGATGCTAACATAGAAATATTAGGGGGGTGAGATAAACCTTCAATTCGTATTCATTAATGCATTTTTTGGATTTTACCTTGACCTAACCTTGACTCTGAGCCGATCAGGTCAAACGGACCTCAGATTCGAATTCAGCGACCTCAAAAACCTATAGAAACAGTACCTGTGCCAAGATTAATGGGATAACCTTTATTTGACCTTGATCTGACTTTGACCTCTGAGCTACTCGGGTCAAATGAATCGTGGTTCAGATTCAGCGATCCCAAAAACATAAATGTCATGGTATTACCTTTTGCACATATGACTTCTTTTCGTGGGGCTGTGATATTTGGAGACCTGCAATGGCTCAGTCGGTAGGTCGACGGACTTGCACCCGGTAGGCTCGGGTTCGATTCCCATTCCCTGCTGATTGATACAAGCACCACTGAAAAAAGTTTCATGTGCTTTGTTCTCAAACACATTGCAAGTGTTTGTCGCTGATTAACACTAATGGAGCATAAATAGAACGACGTTAAATAAAAAAAGAAAAAAAGCTGTGATATTTGTATTGTTGGTACTATTGTTATGAAATCGCTATGTGAACTTCATTTGATGATATCTCCGCGAAAAAAAAAGATTTGTCAAATTTGAAAAATGCGTTGGAAAGGGCAAAAGCGGTACTTTGAAATGGTCAGATTCGTTTTCAGCGCATCAAAAACCTTCGGAATACATGAATAGCGTTCGTGCAATAACTCAAAACTTTTTTTTGCAGACCTGTGTTATTTTTCATTAATACAGGGAATGAAATGCTATTTTCTTAGCAGTGGAATGTGATTTTACAATTTCCTACAGAAAAACTCACAGAAAATTATTTGTGACAAAAAATATTTTGCACGAATCAATCATGAATTATACATCTTATCAATTTTCATAATAAATGAAATCCTTAATACACAATTTTTGTAAATATTTTATTAATAATGTAAAAATATATCATGTAGAGTATTTTATGCCAAATATTTTCAATTAGGTATTATGTATAAAGTTTACATGTTTAATAGTATTTACTTTCTAATAAATATTATTTCATTGCTCTGTTCAATTGAAAAAAAAACATATGCCAAATAAAACAAATTAAATAATTTGTCTTAAATCACACCGTGTCCAATCGGTATTTGTATAAAATGAACATTGCCGATACTTGAGTCTGTGTTCTCCTAAAAATATAATATTCTAAGTGAATCAATAGTCAATTTGAAATACAAAAATGATTTTATGTTTATTGCAACAGAACAACTTGACTCACTTGTCGCGGCACGAGTTTGTACCCGGAGTAGGAATGGGCATTGCGAAGTGTCCTTACGATCCCATGGATAACTCAACAGCGGTTTGGGTGGAAAAAGGTAATCCTGGAGAGTTACCAGCTCTCTACTCAGGTACTAACGCTGAGTTTACAAAAGCCGACACTGTTATTTTTCGCACGGATCTTTTGAACTTTACTACTGGACGCAAAGCCTACAGCTTTAAAAGAACACTAAAATATGACTCCAAGTGGCTGGATAGTAAGTATTAAATATTCAATACGATTGATATGCATTCTATAATTTGATATAATATAACGAGCATGCTCATTAACTGCCATTTTCGAAGCGTGAAAGTTAGCAAGATATCATTGTGGGAGAGAGAGACGCAAAGGAGCAAGCAAGAAACTTTACCGGCAACTAAAAGAGACGCGAGGGATCAAATCAAACTAGCAATATCGCCTAGGGGACAGTCTTAATAGTTCACTTTTTTAACTGGATATCATAGCTTTTCATTGTACTTAATACGTTGGGTACGCTTAGATAAACATCTCTACCAATACTTATGTCATTATGTAAATATTTTAAGTTATTCACGATTAACTAAACATTACCTTCATGTAAAAGTAAATCTCGATAACCATTAAAACTAATGAGGCGAACTTTTTTAAATAACCTTAGTAATACTTACTTATAAATAATCAACTTATAAATATAAAACTTAAATTTTATCTCTGAAATTCTTATCTTACGTGTTCCTTGGTATTTTTTTATTGAAAGTGATAACGTATAATTGACTGAAGACGACGTGTAGTAAAAAATAAACAAAGTTAACACAAAGAACTTACAACGCGTCTGCATCAGGCAGCTCGTTCTCTCGACATCGAGATTAATTGGAATAAATGTGCATTATGTAGCATAGAATCAACCTAAACTTTCTCAGATATACTTTCGAAAAATTTTTTTTCTATTTTAGAGTCGATTGTTGTATGATTTTCTGGCATTCCTTAATAACTGAAAAAACTGTTTCGTGATTTGTTGTGTTTTTTTTAAATTCTTCAAGGCCTAAAGTAATCTAGGTATTTGTATGAAAACCATAAAAATAATAAAACAAAATGATTTTTTAGTTCCAAAGTTATACAGTTATAAAGTTTAAGTAATAATATAAAATCTTATCCAATGCATCAACCTCGTTGAATTTTTGGGAATCATAAAAATAAGATGTATTCTACAAGAATTGACCATTTTACTTCTAGCGAGAGTCCGCGTTTGGTTCTTGAAAGGAGTAGACGTGTTGAAATTGTGTTCTATCTGAAAAGCTATAGTATTAGTAAATCAAGTAAAGTGACAGTTAAGTTTTATATACATTAACGGTACCTCAAAAAAAAAGAAAATAACTGCCGAAATGGCCACTAAAATAGGGGACGACATGTATATTCCTAATAAAAATCAAACTGTAAACTCGAAAACCGTAAATAATAAAAGATAGAGGAAGCAGCCTAGAAGTTTAAACTTAATTAAAAAACGACATGCACAATTATCAGATTACTGGCTAATTAACACAAGCAACAGATACGAAATACTTCAAGAAAATTAAGAAAATAAAGAAAATCACAGTGAAAAAGAAAACAACGAAGCAAATAATCTGAAAAGCAAATCTCCTCCGATCTTTGTTTATAATGTAGAGAATATCAAACTGTTAGAAAATTTATTGAACACAATAGCCAAAGAAAATTACACCTTAAAAGTGATAGGACTAAACAAAATTAAAATCCAACCAACCACTTCTAAAAAATATCTACCAATTATTACTACATTGAAAGAAGTAAATATGCAATTTTACACTTACCAGTTTAAAAAAGAAAAAGGATTCAAAGTTATATTAAGTATTTACTCGTTAGTTGATATAGATGAATTAAAATCAGACATACAAGAACATGGATATAAAATATTAAGTATTCATAATACAGGGTGACCCAATTTAAACGGGCACCGCAAATAACTCGTCAGGGACGGCTCCAATCGAAAAAATGGTAGAGACCAAAGTTGTAGGATATCAAGGGGAAAGTCAGATGTTAACCTTGGATTTGACCTTTCAACGCGATTTTTAAGGTAATGGAAGGTCAACCTGGAGTTTTTAAATAGGAACCCTACTTTTTTACTGCGGCAATGAAAAGAGCGGGAAATTTTAAACTAGTTGAAACTGCTAATCGTGTTACTAAACGTAAAGACATCGGCCGGGGTATGATTTCAATCCTTCAGCGGCCGATGCCTTCACGTCTTCTTACTTTCATTAGTTGGGCTTTAATTCTTACCTTCATCGGCCGGATCATCCCAATGATACCTGAAAATCCAGCCTGCGACATCCTCGTCGTAGGTTCTGGACATCAAGTTTCATAATGCTAATGAAACTCAGAAAATGGTACGCTAAATGATAAAAATCGTTTCTTCTATTTTAAATTAACTACTTCCTTTAAAACGTAACATTTTACGCGCTTTCAGAATCCGAAGTCAAGAAAGGGTACTGTTTAAAAAAAAATTTAACCTTGAAATGACCTTAATGGACTATATCGAATCTAAGGTCACTATCGGACTTTCTCCTCGATATCCTACAACTTTGGTCTTTACCATTTTTTTGATTGGGGCCCTGTTAGAAAACTTGTACTGGTGGGGTTTGAAACTGGCAGCATGACCTTGAGATGACGTCCGGTACCGCAACCAAACATATTGTGAACGTACAATTTTCCGTTCTTTTCATTCCCGCAATAAAAAAGTAGGATTCCTATTTAAAAACTCCAAGTTTACCTTCAAATGACCTTGAAAATCGTGTTCAGGGTCAAATCCAAGGTCAACATCTGAATTCCCCTCGATATCCTACAACTTTGGTCTCTACCATTTTTTCGATTGGAGCCGTCCCGGATGAGTTATTATTATGAGTTATTAAATTTATAAAGTAAACCGATTATTAAACACGGTAATGTTATTGGAGCCACCGAACGTTAAAAGAGAAATTCCTCAATGTCTAAATTGCCAAGAATATAGGCATACAAAATATTATTGTTACAAATGTGTTATGTATGTGGAATATGTTAAACATCACCAAACTAAAGAATGTTCAATTAAACAAAAAATAAAAGACGTAACATGTGCTAATTGTAAAGGAAATCACACCGCAAACCATAAAATATTCTCAGTTCGTAAGTAATACAGCAAAAACTATTTTCTAGACTACGACAAAAAATATTAAATCAAAACATTATACAAGTTTATCAAAATCTAAACTCAAATTTAATTGAAAACGTCAATAGAGTTAAACCAAACATAATATTGGACAGGTAATACTAAATCAAAACAGAGTGAGATAAAAATATCAAAATAAATAGTTGTTCAATCAGAGTTAAGTCAACATACCAACGAAATAAACACAAATAATAAACTCGAACACATGATGGAATAGCTGATGCAAAGACTAAATACTGTTAAACCTTTTAACTCTACTAGTAAACAAAATGGCATGATAAGCAATCTAAAAATCGCTATCAGGAACGCAAACGGTCTTATGCAGAGGCACCTTGAATTAAAAGCATTTTTAATCTATGAAATTATAGACATCATGTTCATATCAGAAACATACTTTAAAAGTAAAAACTATCTTAATATACCAAACTACACTGTACATAAAACCAATCACTCACTTAATAAAATACACGGAGGTACTGCGATTATAATCAAAACAAAAATAAACGATTACATCCAACTTACACTAGTAAAACCTTCTTACAAGCAATCACTGTAATCATTAAGGATAAAGCGGATTCATAATATTATCAGCTGTTTGCTGTTCTCAAAATAAAACCATTACAAAAGAAAACTGGATACACTTTTTCAATGTACTAGGAAATCGTTTTATAATATGAGGCAATTATAATGCGAAACATCCGTGGTGGGGATCAAGATCGTCAATTTTAATATCAGAGTTGTATTTCATAGAGACAGAGTACTCTATGAAATACAAAAAAAAAATAACTACATTCCAATATCCACTGGAGAACCAACATACTAGCTAAACAATATACAGATATAAAGAAGCTTCTAGAGATTTGATTGACTTTGCTATAGTAAGATGTTTAAGCAAAAATTATTTTGAAGTGTCATTATGCTTAGATTTATCATCAAATAATTTGACGGTACTAATTTCTTTACATCATCAAGTATTTAATAAAGTAAACAATAACATGAAAGTCTAGTGAAAGAAATATGGTCTTTACATAGAGAAATGCATAAAGTGCAACGTTTTCTTTAAAACAGCTAATAACGTAGAAAGCAGCATCAATTCACTCAACGTAATTCTAACTGAAACAATGAACAAATTCTCTACTACAATAAATAGAAATAAAACACAACCAATGAAGTCAACTAAAATAATAAGATTATTAAGAAAAAAGGATCAGAAAACTAAATCGATTCAAGACAAAACTGAAGTAAATAAAGCATCCAAAAATCTAAAAAAAATGTTATATTAAGAAAAATACACAAACGCAAAATTACCTCAGATCACTGAATCCTACGAAAGCAATAGAGTACTTATTATAAATAGCTATTAAATGACTTAAAAGACCGGTTACATTTATACCACCTATCAGAAAACCTAATGGTAACTAGGCAAGATTAAACGAGGAAAAATTGTTAACGTTCGTAAATCATCTTAGTACAGTATTCAAGCCTCATGAAAGAATAATCACTGAAGAAGAAGAAATCTCACTAGAAGGCTCTGACATCCAAGACAATACGCTAATCAAATCGTTTAAAATAACGGAAGTATTACAAATAATTAATAGTATTAAGAATAGAAATTCTCCCCGTTCTTATAATATCACAGGAAAAATTATTAATATAAGGGTGAAATTCAAAAAATTGTAAATACATGTTTTTGGGCCCTAAGTTTTTTATGGAAACTATATCCACATGTCTACTTGATATAGTTCGTTAACAACAACTCTAAACAACTTGTTCAGATACTAAAACATTATTTAAAACACTAATTTTGGTCTGCATGACCGAAAAACAAGCAAAAATGTCCTTGTGTCACGCGTCGTGGGCGCAGAAGTATTTGTTTTTCAAAGAAAAATGTATTCAAATAAATATTTATTTAAAAAAAATGATTTTTGAAGGTCTTACAACAAGGAATCGAATGGTAGGGTGCAGAAATGCAATAACTTAATAAATAGTATTCAAAATTAAGCTTAAAGTTATGTTTTTTT